AAAGAAACTATGCTGTTTCCATTTGCTCCAGTAACTTTTTCAGTTTTTCAACCACACTTCATCACTTTAAAAAATTATCTCATGTTGTATTACAAACACAAGCAAGCATAGGCTATGACTAACCATACATAGAGAACACTAAGTAACTTTTTAAAAAGTATTGGCAGCTGCACATAATAAACAAACTAAACAAAACGGAAATAGTTTTCTTTTCTAATACTAACATTTTGTTCAGATCAGAAGTGTGCTTTTGAATAAATCCCCGATCATTCCCACTTACTGAATTTTGGTTCACATCACAGAACAGTTTCAGAGTGCACAAACTGCTTTCCTTTAGGGTGAAACTCAGCTAGAAGGTGATCTCCAGGAGCACAGCTAATGCACACCAATCACTAATGGGAGATCAGGCCATTGAATCAAAATAGTGCTAAATAAATCCCCTATAAGGTAGATTGTCAGGTCCTCAATACCAACTGATCTGCTCCTACTGCACCACGCTGCCTGCTAATGTAGATGTAGCCTGAGGTTTTTCTTGTAACTTTCATAGATTAAAAGATTCATAAGAGAAATGAGATTACTGATCGTGATTAAAACTAGAGATAGACCTAGTCTGCAAAATTTGGAAACAGGCCTCAGACATTCCAAAGCTTAGAGACGTTTGATCGAGACTTTTGGTTCAAATTTCTGTGAACAATATAAAAGAAGACAAGTGTACAGTTGGATATAGATCTGAGTTGCATGTAAAAATACAGGCACTTGATTTAAACTATGCTTTAGGGGAGCTTTTTTCACATCATTATTTACCTAGTGGATTCACACATTTATTTTATAAATAAAACGGTGGGGAACTGAACCTGTTTGTCGGCATGTATCTAGCAAATTTTATCTGCAAAGGCAACCATGTTCTGTAGATTTACCCATTTGTTTCTTTTTTTCTCCTACCACCCAAGCTAATGAGCTATCCAAATAGCTCTTTTTTGAAATTATTAACAAGAAAATTCCAAAAACAGATTATTCCTTTTTTAAAAAATACAGGAAGCTTTAAAGTAAAAGGCATACAATAGCTCTTCAGAGTATGGTGAATTGCTTCGTGGGACCATCAGCTTAAATCTTTATGTCTTCAAAGCATATGCTTGATAAATAACATTACCTACATAATGCCCAAGTTCACAAAGGATTTTGTTTCTATATATAGTAAAGCACACATTTGTTTTACTGTACTGCATGAGTGCTTTTAACTAGGTTCATTATGTCTAATCCTTCCTCCTCCTATAGCAGGGCATGATCCAAAGAAAACTTAACCTCCAATAAACAAAAAGTCTAAAAAGATGGTATATAATAATTCTCTGAAAAAAAAGGCCACTCTCTGTTATAGGCAAGCACAGTTATCCAAAACAAAACTTTCAAGAAACATATTAAAGATGATTATTTATTACTCAGAAAATAAAACATTTAGTAAGCATCAAGAGCATTCTAAAGAAGAGGAAAAATCTCTTTCAAGCCTTTCATAGTCTTGGCTCTTCCCTTCCCAGACACCTTTCAAAACAGATTTTTACAGATGTCTCATTCTCTATATAATGATTTTTTAAAATCTTGTTGGTATTTTCCCAATTTAAGTGTTTTTTAAATTGCCCTGCTAAACCAGCTGCTTATAAAAAGCTAAATATTAATTAGACCAGATACACCAAAGAGATGTTGCTGGAAGAATGTGTTTAAAGGCAAAAAAGAAAGTAATACATACTGTCAAGTTGTCTTAAAACATTCAAATCAAAAATATATCTTTCCGTATTATGAGATAGAGCAAAACTGTGTATGCTATCATGCAAAAAGGAGTAGGATGTCACTAACAACCCCCATAACTCCTGCCATAAGTCACAGAAATACTCGTCCCACTTTCACGTGGAAAGGAATCTAAGTTTCACAGCTTAGGAGCCAGTGTAGTTACAAAGCGCTTGGAGGCTGTGCAGATGCACAAAGTCAGGCATAGATAGTTTCTCTGAGCAAGAGTAAATCTTAAAGACAAGCTGTGATTGTATACATTACAATCAGTCTGTCTTTCAGTCTACTTCTATATAAAATACCCTTCTCATATATTGATGTTCAATATGTGGGCAGAACTGTAAATACTGCACTCCCAAGTCATTCAAGCTATTCATTATAAACCAGTACTACCTATTTAATAATCGTATTTCTGACTGAAATTTCCCGAATTCATAGTGTTATAAATAATCCTCACCACTGCTATACTTTAACTAAGACTAGACTTGATACATTTCTACTTTTAAAGTATGTGCATTTAAACATGTTTTCTAAGAGTTGTTACCGAGTATGTTAAAACCTTCACATATGAGACACTTGACTAAGACTTTTATTTTGGTCTTAAAATTATTTCCAAGGATTACATCTCATTCTGCTGTTTTACTGTAACAAATTTCCTCAACTCCATTTTATTTTCACTGCAAAAATATCCCTACCTTCCAAACTACAGTCACTTTTGCCGATAGAGCTCCTGTTCTTACACAAATATCACTGCTCTAGACCTCTTGTACCTCTTCGTTGAGCAAGGTAATTCAAAACTGTACCCATCTAGGATGTATAAGGCGGAAAGTATAATTGTTTCAAAGTCAGATTTGTCCATTGTCTACCTTATCTCACTTCATTATTTACAAGAAAAGCATGTATTACAAGAAAACTCAGAAACAGAGATGGCCCTACTCTGCCTGACACAATATAAAAATAAGAAATAATCACTCCCCCACAGTTTAAAATCCAGACTAAGCAGACAAGACAGTTACAGTACGGAAGGGAAAAGACACAATAAGAAAGGTAAACAACAGGATAATTTTAAAACATTTCGTTATTTTGCTTTTTCCTCATAGAAGGTCGGTGAAGTAACGTTGAAATAAAGAAGCTGTAAGAGTTACCAAGTGAGAGGGAAAAGACACAAATAAGCTTTCAGCACACAGAAAGAACACACAAAGAAAGAAATGTAAAAGCTGGTCACACACCAAGACACCAGCACGTAAAGTCCTTTTATCAGCTGATCCTGCTGCTGGCTAGCTCATAACAATTTGTCTCTTCCCTAAATTCAAATGAACTGGAAAAACAAGAGACTAGGTAGGGACCCTTACTCTTGCTAACAGGACTAGTTCCTTACACCTCTATTTGACAAGCTTGTCACAAGTTTGATTATAACGCAATTATGACCAGACAGTCTTAGGGATTTTTGAAAATTCTTTGATCCTAATACAGGATTATAGTTATAAAAATGTTTGTTTATGTCTTCTCTGCTTCATGATGCATGCAGCCTTTTCCATTCTCACTATGATTTGTTGTAAGATTCTGCCCTATGCGTACATACACCACGTGCCTCTCTTAATTGCCTTTCCTACGTACTTCCCTCTCACTACCTAATAATAACTGGCCTTACTGAATCATGAGCTACCCTCATCTCTGACACAGTATGAAAGAGTACCATTTCAGAAATGATACACAGAAGCACTGAGATATAGCACTGTCTTTCCTTACAGGTCCACAGCAAAAGGTAATGAGGTAAAGCCCCCTTATTAAGTGTGGAGTTCCACTGCCCTCATGGCACAAACGCTGTTCTTCAAAAGTTACACCTAAACACAAATGCTGTTTTCAATGTCTGTTACCATAAAATAGTATCAGCCTAGTGCCCTGCTCTAGGCAGAAGTCAGGATTGAGCAAAATATGCTGCACAGTGCTACTAGCATCCAGGCAAATAATGAGCTGTCAAGTCAGTCATGATTCTACTGTTTCATGTAAGCAAAAAAAGCAAAATCAGATTGCAGTGTTGCACTAGATCTTACTACTATTTGCCAAAAGCTTTTCATGGCAATTAAATTTCATGAAAACAGCCCTTCCTTCTAAATACTGAAAGGGCTCAGACTCCTCACTGTCCTCACTACACTACAAAAAACAATATAGTAATCTGGAAATCATCAGACAATCTCTTTTTTTCTCCCAACTCTAAGGTCAGACAACATTCATAAGTGTCTGACTTTATATCTTAACGTTTGTACCAATAACAGAGGAGACTGGGCACATTGTAAAAAAGAATTAGCAAAGTCCTAATGTGGACAATATAGTAGACACATTCAAATACATAAAATTTGGCAAGTTTGCCACCACAATCACTACAGCACTGTCATGATAAATGAATCCTCTTTTTAGTTTGTCTTAAATGACTCTGCCCTTGATATTTCAGACCTCCCTGAAAGACATCAGTTTAAGTACCCTGAAAGTAGCTCTGATTTATACATTGCCTCTCAAGTTAGACGACCAAACTGACATCTCCAAATCTTTAATGTATTCTAGCTCTATGATCACCCCATCAGATCCTAATGCTTCACATACTTGAATACTTACTGTTATGTTTTAATAAACCTGTCTAGGTTGCACCTGTTAAAAGGTTCACAGAATGGGTCCATTAACCATCTCACAATAATTAAGAGGTGACAGCTGCCCTTGCAGCTGATTCTAATATTTCTATCGTATTTAAGGATGCTGACAAATTTAATCAGCTGTTCACATTTAACCCAGATTTCCCAAAGAAGACTCATGGTGCTATTAAGACCTGGGACATACAGTCTCAAGACAGGTTGGCATCCTATATTGTAAGCTATGAGAACAATGGACTGTTTCAAGATATGTCTCACTTTTTTTTTCTTTTTAATAATAGCAATTAGTGAACACTATTGCTGACTTTTTCTGTAAGGCTTTCTTTAAGCTGGACAAAATCAATGTCGGATTCTCATTAAGAAAAATACTACTAATCCCTGGCAATTCTTGCACACTCCTACTAAAAGAGTAATACCTACTATTTATCTAAAGCTTTTCATGAGATGATATTGAAGTGATTTGTAAAGTAAGTTAGCTTTTTTTGCAGTCTCTTAAGGATGGGGAAAGTGCTCAGCATCAGTTTTTAAAAAGACACTGTTTCTATTTTTTCTCAAAATATTAACCTCTAATCATACCTGCTTATTGCAATCGTCAATCAGTAGAAGGGAAAAGCAGAATTCCTCTCAGGTCTTTAAGGATAAACAATCTACCTTCATCTTCAGAGAGTGTCTCTTCCAACTTAAAATGACTACCTGTAAGAGGTAAGAGAAAGATTTAACTCATACAATAAGATAACATGTGGCTTCAGGCCACGGGCTACTAGTAACGTCTTTCGAAGGTTTCTTCTTCCTGCGTAGCACAGCATCTCAGACGAGGACGAAGTGAACACAGGGTTCTTTCCAGGCAAAACATTCATTCCAAGTACTTCACTGTCCCTCCCACAAAGAAGAATGCTTTCATCCAGTACAGATATATACTTTGCTAAGTATCAAAGAGTTTTAGATGCTCACAGCTAAATTATTATAGTTGGCACAGGCAAGAAGTTAGCTAGTATTTGGGATGGAAAGGATGCTTACTTTCGGATTCTTTGAGGTGAGACCTCTTCAGTGGGTACTCCAGTAATGGAAAGCCTGCATCAGTACTGAAAAAAAGATCAGTCTTTAATATAATAATATACAGAGAGCTGTGGTTAATAATATACAGAGAGCCTCTAAGGCTGCTCACACAGAAGTCAGAAATAAAAACTAGTTAAACCAGGGTGCTCTAGTGGCGTTATATTTCAGTTCAGCTTTAAAGGGCTAAATATATTTACGTGTCTCCTTTCCAAAAAAATGAAAAGTATTTATAATACAACATGTGTTTGTAGCAATTCTCCATTAGTCTCTAACTTGGTCTCCTGAATTTCTACTTCACAGATTATCTGAATCACCTAATGGGTTTCAATCTCTGCATTGCTTTCCTTTTCACAATCAGCTTCTTGATCCATTAGCTCCTCTGCAACTTGTTCTCTTTTGGAACCTGGAAAAATCAGACTGCGATTCTATAAACAATTTTTCAGTGGCACCATTAGGAGCCCCAGTACACTTCACCCCAAACGGCCACTTGCAACCTGCTCTTGTTCTTGCCCCTCAGTTGCATGGGCACTGCTGTTTGTAAAAGTCAAGGAAATGGTCAACATTAAAAAAAAAAAAAAAAGCCAAAAAAGTGTGTTTGCTTTCAAGCCAGCTCAGTACCCAATCTGATTCACTGTATAGCTATATAAAAAGCTGAGTCCACACAGCAGAAACACACTGCCAAGAGAAAGGCCACTTAAGCCCACATAGCTGCAGAGTATGATCCACAGCCTCAGAATCTCTATCATCCTTTTATGGAAGAAGCTAAAGACATCTCCCATTCCTTTTCCTGCATCTGCTCCTGTCTGGCAAACCACCCTATAAACAAGGAAGTAACTCCATGAGAAACAGCTGCCTTTGTACATACATTTATCCAGTAAAGACACCTGGAAATGGATCTTCCTCTTTCATTGGAACTTGTCCTTCTACAGTTTATATTCTTTTCCTGAGGTACTCTTTTAGGGACTTTCTCTTTTCAAGATTAGGCTTTACCTCCACAGCTAGTTCACCTACCCCCAGAGCAGAAATTATTTCCCTGTAATCTGACCAGGCAATTGCATACTTGTGTCATATGACTCAATTTTTCTCACCAAAACCTTTAAATGTGACATTAGATATCACATTCACCTGTGATAGCATGTCCTAGTTTAAAAGGGTTCCAGTCACTGGCCCTCAGCTCCTGAAATAAACAGTGGGGGACAAGATGAGCAGGCCACCACAGGTACCATGCACGCATAATGCAGTCCACCCAGTCCCATTTTGAAATGAATGCCAAGACACTGGCACACACTAATCTCCACGACCTACACAGACAGGTTGGGACTGTGCAACGTTGGCTCAGCTGAGAGATTTCTCCCCTGTGCCAGCTTTGGTGGCCACAGGGGTCCTGCTCTGATGAGCTCTCTGAAGAGCCTCCATGTCCCAAGTCACAGGAGAACAGTGGCAGCCTGGAGGTCTTGAAAGTTACAGTTGAAAAACTCTTCATTGCACACAATACTGCAATTTGTTTCTTTATAGGTTTATATTGTCCCTGATTGCTGGTTGAAATAGTTTTGCTCTTGCGCATACAGGCTGGACTGCTCTTGTTCATTTACTTTCATTAAGTGCATTCCTCGCTCTTCCCTGCACGATGCAATTCTGTTTGCATCCCATCATTTTCTCCTTGTAATTTTTACTTTTGCTTTACCTCTGTATATTTCAGGAGATTTTGCTTTCTTGCCAAAATTTATAATCTGTTAAGTTTAATTTATGAAGCTTGGCAAACTCCAACCCTCATTTTTAAAGTTACATTGAGTCTTCTTCTACCAGACTTCTTCTCATATTTGATCACCATTAAAATTTGATATTGAATTATGCATTCTATAAGCTCTTCCAAGTTAGCTCAACAGCATAAAAAATGTTAAGAATGCCTCATAAATTTCTCCACCTTTGTCACATAAAGTTGTTAACTTCTGAAAGTTTTGTGCTTTCTTGGACTACACTATTCCTCAGACTCAGTAGTACAGTTTCATAACTGACTGGCTTGTCCTTATGCATATAATTGCATGCTGCTAAACAAATCTCACATCTTTCAGAATCCTGACTACTCCTTTCCTCATTTTACTTTTCAGTGCTTGCTAATTCAATTCTTAATTTTTGTCCAATCATTGCTACAATTCTGGAAAGCTTCAGATGCACTAATTTTTTAGCTGCAACTGCTCTATTTTATCAGCTCCTATCTGTTTCTCTGTCTCTCAAATCTCAACATTTTTGTCTGCTTTTGCTACCATGTCTCTTATGTAGATTTTGGGTGGTTTTTAGTGAGAAATCTGTTGTGCTGGAACTTGCAATTAAGGTAAGTCTTCATCATAAAAACAGGTAACTAAAAATATAGAAAAAAGCTCATGAGGGAAGAAAAGACAGAAACATCTATCTTCGTTGACTGCTAACACAACCCTGACCAATCCAACTGGCTAAACCAGAATTCTTCATTGGCAGCCATATGCCTAATGGCGCACTACTGTTTTCTATGTCATGCAGTGCTTAACTGCCTAGCACGTCTTTTTGCACTGGAAGATTTTTCTTGTGCATTGCATAAGAAGTCCACAAAGAACAATGTGTTTATTTTCTATTATTTATTATTGTTTTTCTTGCCAGAGAAATACAAACAAAGGACCTCTCCTGGGTCGATTTCTGAACATTTGCTAATAAAACAAAGTGCTCAATAGGATTAATTCAAAACCACATGAGGTACTGGTCTTGTTTCAGATAAATATATAAATCAGAATTTTACAATGATCATATTGTTTCCAGGTGAAGATTTCCCTATCTTCTCCTCTTGTGTCAAATTTGGGATTAACCTGTTCTATTAGAAAACTGTTTTACTTTCCGTTTTCAAACAGCCGACTTTGTTTATTCAACCACAAATAGGAACTGATAACTCCAGCAGGCTTTTGCTGTTGTTGTGTTGTTGCTGCTGCTGTTCTTGCTGGCTTTTTAGGAATCCAGGAAAATCACAGTGCAGAAATTCTAGGAAGAGACTCCAGGGCACATCCTCTCATGGTGCAAACAGGCAACAGAATGGCACGAGGAAACTCTTCCAAGTTCTTTTTCCAAGAGTTCCAGTCTTTTTCAGAGTGGATTTATAGTTTCATTACTTAGAATCTTTCCTGCGTTCTTTAAACTGGCAGCATACTACAGGATGTATTCTCCCACTCTCTAGGATTCACAGACTCCTGGTAATACTAACTTGACTTGTTGTATATGTAAATCCCCACACACACCAGTGCAAGAACTCACTGATCTTAATGTTTCTATCGTCTTTGACAATGAAGATTCAATATTTTGAGAAATTGCCACAGTTTGGATAGCTTCCACTAGAATAAGGAAAGAGTTGAGCCTGAAAATTATTTTTACGTTCCTTTAAACAGTGAATTATTCTTGCATCACCATTTCATTTTCGCTCTTCTTATTGGCAGCAAAGCCTCCCAATTTCTTCCAGATTTTCCATGGTATAATATGCTCTTTTACAACTTATAAACAGTTCTAAATGATCTTTAATTAAAAAGCCCAATGCAAAAAAGTCATACTGGATTTGCTAGCACATCTCAAGGACAAACTGAAATCCCGAACTCAAAAGTCAAAAAACTCGAAACTTTAGGGACTAATTTCTCCACCAGTTACTCCCAGTAGAATTCTGACTCTAGTCTTGTTTACAGAGAAGTACTGAAGGAACACCTTTGAAGACCACAGCTTCACTAATGCCAGAGTAGGATCCAAAAATAAACAAAAACTGTAAGTAAAGGAAAAAACACTGCGGCAGATTTTATATTCTATTAATTGTGTACCATAACCATAGGCTAAGACTTTATTTTTTCCCTTAGGATGCCACAAAAATAAAGAAAAAAAAAGTTCTGGGCTGGAGAATAAGTAGCTAAATATAATATTTACATGTTTGTTGCTGTTGTTGTGTAACATTCCTGGACTAATTCCAGCCACTGAACTCTTCAGCTGTCCATTGACAGGTGTAAGACGAGTTCACTAACCCTAAAAACACATTAGAACTATTTGGAGAGCCTGAAATCCTTGACTATTACAGCTGTGCCATTCTTAAAGACTGAGAGTCATGGTCCCAACTTGACTCTTTATCTACACAACTGCAAACTATCCTTCCATAATTATGTTGACATTTACGATTACCAACATGTTTACATCAGTCTGCTGAATTATAATCTTCTGATGCTATAAGTACATGTGCAATCTTCTAGTATAAAAACTGATGAGAAGTCCCATGACAGAATATAAAAAAACTCAGAAATTTCTTCAATATCTCCCACCACTAAGGCTAGTTAGCAAAGTACACTATGTATTTATCCACTTTTTTATCCCTATTTAAACAAAAATGAAATAGCTACACACAATTTGAACACATAATAAAAATTTTCAGGTTGAATTTGATCTTTCATCAATAAATTCCACCAATCAGATGTCTAGCTTTTACGTAATATTAGGTTTAAAAATACATAACTTTCTCTAATTAGTTTTGTTATACAACATTAACCTAACACCCTGATGCAGATAAAGCTTAAAATGTAATTAACTTTAGGTCTAGCAGTACTGCTTCCCAAAAGCTTGCTGAAGATCTATCTTTGCTACTTTTGTCACCAAACATTTCCCATACATATAAAGCTAGAAGTGTTACAGATGCTTTAAGAGGACTAACCAGGTTTAACACTCTGCACCTAAAACTATAGGCTGTATTCACGTAAGCCATTTAATTACATGCGTAGTCTTTTAGTGGGTCTACTCACGTGAATAAAGGTTACTCATAATGAATGTCTGCTTTATTACTTCAACCAGATAGCACAGAAAACAGGAAACACTAACAGCGAATACTGTTCATATATGTGTTAGGAGCTCTAGCTATTTTGGGAGTGAATCTTTATTCATGAAAGGATGTAACTTTATTCACACAATTTTTTAATCTAAATTAAAACACTATCTGGCAAAATATTACTTATAAAAATGTAAATGACAATCAACCTCAGATGTGGCAAGCCCACCCAGAGTGACAACCCAGGGACATCTGTGCAATGAAAAT